GTTATTAATATCACAAAATTAAAGAAGCTTTTTGAGATGAAGACATAATCATAGATGTGGTAGTAAGTGTTTAACAACCAGCTCTCTAAAAATAAATGATACACTTTTAAATTTAATCTGCATTATTAACATTTTCTCCATCAATTTTTAAAGTCTAGACAATCTACAAAACATTAAATCAAGCTCTGATTTGTAGTGTTTGCCAATGTCCAAGGTGCAAAAGTTTACACAGAAAATTTAACAACTGGCTCATTCAGCCAGTTTTATCTAGCTCCAGAACACTCTAGAATAAAACCTTTCTTTCCTTGCTGTCTTCCACACAACTGGGAAATTGAATGCATTACAGGGAGGTAATTAATCAATATGTAATCCAATCAGTACTACCACTGCTACTGGGAAGGAAGTAATCATTTCCCCAAGGGTGTTATTTACCATCCCTATGATTTTCCAAGCTGAAATACCCATTTTTCCTGACCACCAGTCCCCTAAATCTCATGGGTCTCCCTACTAAAATGTAAGCTCCTTGAGAGCAGGGATTACTTTACTTTTTTATTTGTATCACCAGCCCTTAGCTTAGTGCTTTAACTATAGAAAGCACTTAGTAAATGCTTTTTTAATTTAGTCAATTAAAAAACAAAAAAGACATGTGATTACAAAGACACAACTAAGAATGAGAAAGGGCCCACTGTGACAGAATAATCATTATCATGATCTTGTAAGGATATATAGTAAAATAATACATTTGGTTGCCCTACTCCACTTGGACAAATCTAGGCCAAATATGAAATTGGATACAGAAAATCTGTCTCCATATCTAGGAAATACAAGACTAAAATTTACAAACATGATCTCTCCTTACTCCTCTACCATAGGATACTTGAACAAATCCATACTTTGCCAACTGGGAATTTACAGCATTTCATTGGAAGTCTAAATGCCTTTCCTACATGAAATTGCTAGTTTTCTCAATGGATAGATTTTAAAATTGGAGCTAACATACTAGACTTTTCCCAAAGAGATTTTTGAAAGTATAATGATTACTTTATAAAATTTCCTTATCAGTTTCCTTTTTGCTATCACTTATCTGCCATACTTTAAAATAATTGAAAGTATCACTAACAAAAAGGAAAGAGATTTATTTATTAAATAAATTACTTTTAATGTCACAAAAATTTGATCAAGTAAAATTATTTAAATAATAAGCATTCATTTATTAAAAGAAAGCATTTATTAAGTGCCTACTATGTGCCAGGGATTATACTTTTACTATTTGATCTTCACAATTCTGCAAGATAGGTGCTATTATTATCTCTATTCTACTGTTGAGGAAACTGAAGCAAAGAAAGGTTAAATGACATGCCCAGAGTCGCATAGCTAGTAAGAGTTGTCTTTCAGAATGTTTTTATAATTAGAAAGTACATTAATATAAATGATTTTCATTTGTATTTTTAACTGAAGAGAAAATAGAGACTCAGAGGTTGACTCAGCCAAAATCATACAGTAAGTATAGAAGCTAAGACTCAGGGGCAGCAAGGTGGCGCGGTGGATAGAGCACTGGCCCTGTAGTCAGGAGGACCTGAGTTCAAATCTGACCTCAGACACAGAACACTTACTAGCTGTGTGACCCTGGGCAAGTCACTTAACCCCATTGCCTAACCAAAGAACAAAACAAAACAAAAAAAGAAGTTAAAACTGAAATATGTGCTTTTGATTTCAAATATTTGATACCACAATTGCAGGGACACAGTTTCTGAAGAGTGTGTACATGGCAAATACTAATAGTAATCTTATTAGAGAATATTCATTTTAACACACATTTAAACACACACACATAAACCTGCTTTAAATTATTTTTCAAATTTCCGTTTTCTACCAAAATGCTGCAGCACCTAATCTCCTACCACTGTAACTATATGATTATTTAACATTTGAGTGGAAGAGAGCATGCCTCAGAACAACACCCAGGAAATCAGTGCAATAGTGGACAAAGCCTTTGTATGGCTGAATTTCGTGGAGCCAGTGGAACTGTTCTTTGAAGAACTATGACCAGAGCGAAGGGCAATGTGACAGAAGGCTCCTGAGGTTTCATCATTGGGCCAAGCCCAAGGATACCCACATAGAGGACAACTGTCCACTCACCTATATAGATACCAAAGTATAGGGAGAAGATCAGGCCCTGAGAAGGACTTAACAAGAATCTACCCAGCATGAATGGAAATAGCCATCTACAGCAACTACATCCTACAAGGACCCCACCTTCCAGAGTAACCTCCAATAGCTTTACTCTTTGGGATTAAGGTGCTTCTGTTGGAGGAAGTATAGCAGGAGAAAAAAAAGTACTGCCTGTGGCAGCAGAGCTCGTTATTGTTGTGTCGTTTTCAGTCATGTTCAGCTCTTTGTGACCCAGTTTGGGTTTGTTTGCTTTATTTATTTATTTATTTATTTGCAAAGATACTGGAATGGTCTGCCATTTCCTTCTCCAGGTCCTTTTAGAGATGAGGGAAGTGAGGAAAATGGTGTTAAGTGACTTGCCCAGGGTCACACAGCTTGTAAATGTCTGCGGTCAGATTTGAATTCATAAACTTGAGTCTTTCTGACTCTAGGCCTGGTGCTCTATCCACTGTGCCACCTAGCTGCATGGAGGCAGAGGGCCTGTATTCAAATCTGACTTCTGCCACTTACTACCATGTCATTGCTAGAAAAACTAAAAAAAAAAGACATATTTAAGAAAAGTGGACTCATTAGTGACAGTTTTATGAAGAAATGATAGAAAATACATAACAAAAATACAAAAAATACAAAAGCTTGCAAAATTTAGTACCTAATAGATACCTGCAACAATAAAATCAAGGGGCTAGAATCAAATGCTAGAAGTTCACTATTCTTCAAAAACAGATTACAACTCCTCACTACAAAGAAAACTGTTACAATATCATTGAGAATTTAAGAAATAAACTGTATTAGAACCAAAGCATCACCACAGACAAAACTGTTAGTCTACAGTTTAAAAACAACATGTTTATAGAAGTTGTCATGGAATACATGTAACCTTCAAACTGCATGGGCTGAAAAGCTTTCAAAATATAAAAAAAAATTAAAACCAGTGTAAAAAGGTAAAATATATATCATCTCTATCACACTCTGCTACTTAAATTGTCCCAAAACTGCTTTCAGTAAGTATATGGAAGACAAGCTTGTAGCCCAATGCAAAAAGCATTTTATCCATTTTCACAAAAGTTTGACAAACATTAAAGACAGGTGGGATAGCAACTTGTCCCAGGATGATTTCTATCTGGACTCCAACAATTTAACAATAACAATAATAACTCACATTTTGTAACATTTTTCTATTTGCAAGGTGTTATACACATTATCTCAAAACAAATCTGGGAAGTAGGTGCTATTATTATCCTCATTGTACAGATAATAAATGTGGGGCTCAGAGAGATTAAATGACTTGATGGAGTCATGAAACTAGGAAGAGTTTGAGGCTGGATTGAAACCTACATCTCCTTAATTCCATATTTAGTGCTCTAATAACATGCCCTATAAATATTCTTCTTCCCTTTATTCTTGCTCCGGGGCCCACCAAGCAAACTTTTAATATCATTTTAGTTTCTCAAATAGATTTTCTTTAGGGGAAGAAAACAGGGTCAGCAGCCAACACGAATATTCCAATCTGCTTGGTAACTATAGATTTCACTGTAAATTATTATCATGAGCTATAAAATAGTTGGGTTACTAGGAATTAATTCATCAGGGCTCAAATGCCCTAGGTGAACCAGTAAAAATACAGTTTTAGAGCCTAAACATCTGTAGACACTAAGGATATGACTCCACTGAAGTACTAAGCCTGAAACAGTTGCTTGTCCTTAACTACATTTATCGATACTAACAAAACAGGCATCATGAACTAAAATTAATAAACTTAGGGGGCAGCTAGGTGGTGTAGTGGAGGAGCACCAGCCCTGGATTCAGAAGGACCTGAGTTCAAATCTAGCCTCAGACACATAACACTTATTAGCTCTGTGACCCTGGGCAAGTCACTTAACCCCCATTGCCCAACCAAAAACAAAAACAAAAAGCAAATAAAATTAATAACCTTGCTTAAAAATGCGATATATTCATCAGAAGAAAACACAATATACTTTCACGTGTGACACTTTTTCAAAGGTTTAATTTTTTTTTAATATATAGCATCCTTCTTAGTTCCAGATAAAGAGAATGCCATTTTTTTCTATTCACAGCAAGTATCACTGATCATGTTCACATATTGGAAGCATGTGGTAACAAATGTTCATGACAGACACATACTCAATCAGATTGCAAATCAGCTACTTTTGTGAAGCCTTACTAATAATATGGAAAGTAAAATTTAGGTGACTTCATTTATAAGACTTAGCTAATGGGCTAAAAACATGAATTTCATTCTCTAACATAAATTGAGCTTCACTCTGGTCCACTATAAACATTAGCACCATTAAAAAGTTATAATGACAAAGTTTGTTGTAAAATGGAATGATCTAACTATAAAACTGGATTAATTTCCAAATCATATCCTTGTTGCTAAAAAAAAAAAAGAGAGAGAAACATCACACAGGGTCATTGTTAAGATACAAAATGGAAGCAATTAATTTTAGTGCCCACTGTATGAGAATGAAATTATCAATAGGAAAAAACAATTAAATTTCAATTGCATCTGTGAAACAAAAACATTATTTCTGATTATACTCTAATTTTTTGCTTTATGCTTTACTCAAAATTGAGAAATAATACACTGTTTCTTATTGAAAATATGCAATGATGGAAGATAATAATGGAATTTGGAAGTCTTTAAAACCTTGACAATTGTGAGAGAAAATTGATAGCAGGATAGGTCAGGAACAGGACACTTGGCTCGAGTCTTTCCAAAACAATATATTATGAACACATATTCTCAACGTGTTCTAAGTAGTAGAAAAGTTCCGATATAAGAATATGCCAATAAATTTTGCACTTACTTTGCAAAGTCCTGTTTTTAATGCATTGTAACTCTAGCTGTTCTGACTGTTCATTCTTTGGCAGTGTCTCCATCTCTCCATTTCCATTGCCTACCATGGACAGCGGTGGATGGTTGATGGATCTTGTTCTTAAGGTTTTCATGTATTGTTGAACTTCAGCCAGTAGAACAGCTTGTATTGCTTCAATGACCTGTTCAAATAAAATTCAAAGGGGAAAAAAAGGATGTTTTTGTCAGATTTTTAAAAGGAGTTTGATGGTGATATCTGACTAGCACCAAATTATGAGGTTTCATTTTGAAATGTGAGTCAAAAATAATTCTTTCAAATGTATTAAATAATTGAATTATTTCACACATGGAAAGTGAGTATATTGTGCAAGTTGTTAAACTTTTTTTAAAGCACAATATCGCTTAGATCCTTGAATCATGAAGCTACAGAAAAATAATGAAGTGGTTACTCATATTTACCAGGTAAATAGACTACTTCTCAAACTCCAATGGGCTGGCCATATTGTTCGAATGCAAAATGTAGGTTTGCCAAAAAGACTATCTTATGGAGAACTCATGCAGGAGAAGCATTCACATGGTGATCAGAAGAAGTGATACAAGGACACTTTCAAGGTCTCTCTTAAGAACTTTGGAATTGATTGTGTGCCATAGGAGACACTACCACAGGACCCGTTCAGCATGGCGTGCCCTCATCAGAGAAGGTGCTGAGCTCTATGAGCAAAGCAGAATTGAGGTAGCTCAAGAGAAATACAAGATACACAAACTTAGAGAATCCACCAAAGGTTCACACAGACTATTTGTGCCCAACTTGTGGTAGAATATTCTGAGCTTGTATTGGTCTGATTAGCTATAGTCATACACACTAAAACTTGACTCGGGCATAGGAATGTCATTTTGGTCCTCTTTGAAAATGAGAGACAACAACACACTACTTCTACTTTCAAAAAAATGAAATAGATTAGTGACCATCTAGTCCAATCCACATTTTACAAATGATGGAGCCAAGGGCTAAGAAGTCCAAAGGCCTTTCCCAAAGTCAACCAGATTAGTAATGGTAAAGCTATGACTCAAACCCAGGTCTTCTCACTCCAGTACTTTCCCCCCTGCAACATATAACACTCTTATATAAACTTTTCTATGATGTTCCAGGGATTTCCTACTGTGCTTTCTGGGATTTTTAGAGCTCATTTGTTCCAATCTTATATTTTTATGTGTGGGGAAAGTGAGGTCCAGAAAGATTATGTGACTTTAGTCCCACAAATAGTAAAAGACAAAATTGGGATTCAAACCTAAGATCATCTTGACTGACCCTAAATCCAATATTCTTTTTTTTCATTGTCTCACTACTAATCGTTGGTGTCCATATTTAAAAGTCATTTTGATGAAATGGTCTTGCCTTGCTTGCTTTTGTCCATGAACTTCTTGAGAGCAATAACCATATTTTACCTTTCTTTGTATTTCCAGGGCTTAGTACAGTGCCTGGAATGTAGTAGATGCTTGATGTATGTTTAATGATCCAGACAGGGCAACCCAACTGAGTGGAAATATCAGAAGGGTTAAATCACAGGTGCAATTTGGTATCCAGAAAACAAGAGGAATTGTATAACCAACTCTAGAGGGATTGTTAAGAAAACTTTGTCATTAAAGGTTTTATTTTCCTTTTGTTCTTTCATGCCCATGCAAGTAGTTTACCTTGGCTCCATACTGCAACCAAGAGCCCATGGACTTTATGTTTCCCCCTTATACAAAATCTGGTACTTCATCTTTCCCTTAGTTTGCCCATTCTGCCCAAAGTACTACATGCTGGACTTCTAGGCCATGTGACAAACAAGATGGAGGACTAGATATTTTCTCTGATTCCTATGATTTCTTAAACTTCTCCAAAACAGAAATTATGTGCCAAGGATAAAATGAATTCACCATCTCTATGGTCTACAAAACCCATAATGCGAATGAAAAATTTTAAAAAGATGAACTGACTAACATTTACTCTGAGTCCTTCTCCCACCATTACTGGCAGCAAGACTATACTAGCTTACTCAAGGACCAGAGAGCAGGGCTTGCAACAAAACTCAGCCTCACACCCATTTCTCCAGTGCCCTGGAGATCCTGAAGTTTGTTTGGACTGCAAGGCTGTGGCTGCCAAAACTTTACTGAAGTCCTGACAGTGCAGACTGCAGTGACAGCATTCTGTACTACAAAAGATGTCTGCAGAGGAGCAGAGAAAATGAGGGAAAGGGGAAGGACATTGCCTGGGTTTGAAACAGAATCCAATACAACACCACATATCGCTGTTCTCAGAGCCTTGGTGACCCAAACTCTAACTGACAAAAATCACTCTCAGTTTCAGTGGCATAGGACTGGCAGGTCAGAGAGCTGAGGTATGGAGGGAATGAGACAGCACACTGTCTGTGTGTGTGTGGTGGTGGGGGGAAAGGGAGCTGTATAACAATCCACTAAGCTTGAAGGAAAGAGCCCAGAATCCCAGCTGGGGCCAATTCTGCCCCCCCCAAAGTCAGTTGGGACAGAGACCTAGGCTGATAAATTGCCCGATGTGGGAGGAGGCTGAGATTCAGCCCCTAAGGAAATCACAATTAGATGGGAGGGAGTCAGGACATGAGAAATTTGGAAAATAAGTGAGGGATTTTAAATTATCAAAGATCTTAGTAAGAAGGAACTTGAAGATATTGAACATAAGCAGATAAATCAACAGGGAAAACAAAAATAGTAGAAGGAAATATGGCCTCCAGATCTAGTAAATGAGTTCAGGTATCTATGAATAAATACTGCAAAACAAAGGAAAATGATCCAACACTTGATGAGACAGAGGGTCCATGAATCTGAAGAGAAAAGGGACCCACAACATGCTTTGAGTGGTTTAAAAGAGAAAATTCTGACAGCAGAATTTATGGCCTGCCATAGTAAAAATAATGGGTAGAATTACAAAAAAATCTGGAATCTGTGATGTCTTAACAAAAAAAAGAAAATAATAGATAGATATGTAAATACATAGAAGTGAAGGACAATCTAGAAGAGAAGCAGAAAAACAATAATATTACAAGAAAATATGCCCTCTGTCCGAGCAAAGCATACTGATCTTGAACACAGGTATAGAGAAAACCTAAGGACTGTAGGTCTCCCAAAAGAACATGGCAAGACAAAGTGCTATATGATTCTTAATATTTCCTGATCCAACAACTACAACAAATTCAAATGATCTTACTGTAGATTAATTCAATGCAAATGAACAGTTATTTATGAAGGTATTATGTGAAATGCCAAAGCTATGCAACCAAAACAACTTAATTCCTTACTTCAAAGAATTTACGTTTCAGTGGAATGAAATGACATGCACACAGATAATAAATACAAATTATATATATGGCAAATACAAATTAATTTTAGGGATACTGGAGAGGGACCACTAAGAGCTGGAAAGATCAAGAAAGAACATATAGCTCCTAGACCAAATCTCAAAGGAGCTATAGATTCCAAAAGATGAAACTGAGGCAGAAGAGCACTCTGGACATGGGGAATACTCTATGTAAAGACACAGAGAAGGAAGATGGAATATCATGTACAAGTAGGTCAGTTTGTCTAAAATACAAAGTGCATGATGTGGAATAATGGGAAATCTGAGAAGACAGGTGGGAGAGAGATTGTGAAAGTCTTTAAATGACAAACAGAGGTTTTTATATTTTATTCTAGAGGTAACAGGAAGTCAATAAAGCTTCTTGAACTGGGGAATGATGTGATCAGATCTGAGCATTAGGAATATCAATTTGACAAGATTTTGGAACAGAGGTGAAAGAAAGGAGGCAGGGGAAATTAGAGGGTTATTTCAACATTCCAGTTGATTAGAGCCTGAGTTAAAGTGATGGTCTTGAGAATGAAAAAGGGAGAGAAGAGAAATACTGAGAAGGCAGAATAACCAAGACTTTGCAAATCATTGGATGGAGGCAGGGAGAGAAGTGGAGGGACAGCCAGGAAAGTAAAAAAAAAAAAAAAGAATGATAACTTCAAGGTTATGGACCGAAGAGATTGGAAGTATGGTGGTGCTATTGAAATAAATGGGGAAATTAGGAAGACAGGTAGATTAAATGGAAAGGATAATGAGTTCCATTTTTAGATATGTTCACTATGAGTGGTCCATAGGATTGCAAGATTGAAGTTATCTATCTACTAGGTAAAAGAGCACATGGGAGAGATGAGGGCTAGATATGCAGATCCGTGATATAGATCTATATCTATCTATCTATATTTGTAGACATCTATATTTATAGATAGATAGATAGATACACAGAGAGAGAGAGAGAGAGAGAGAGAGAGAGAGAGAGAGAGAGAGAGACAGGCATCTGCATAGAGATGCCTAAAATACTCTCCCTCTTTACCTCTGTCTTAGTTTCCCTGGCTTACCCAAGACAGTTCAAAATGACCCCTTCTGCAGGAAGACCTTCTAGGTTACCTTGACTATGTATCTTCTGCTCCATTATGACCTTCCTTTTTCTTCTTCTCCATTCTCTTTGTCTCTCTGTCTCTCTCTCTCCACACAGACACACATGTATACACAAATATATGTTTAAATATGTGATATGGCATATACCTAGTTATTTTCATGTTGTCTCTGTTAGAATGTGAGCTCCTTGAGGGCAGGTCTTATTATTGTCATTGTCATGGTTATTGTTACCTTTCTTTGTATCACCAGAGTTGAATACATTGTAAGATCTTAATAAATACATGTCAATCGAGTAAAGATAATAATGATCACTGAGAGTGTAGAGAAGAAAGAAAAGAGGGCTCAGGACAAAGTTCTGGTGTATCCTCACATATAACAGGTAGAACATGGATAATGGTCCAGCAAAGGGGACTAAAAAAGTGGCCAAACAGGTAGAAGGAAACTCAGGAGAAGGTAGGGGCCTTGTGGGGGGAAGTATACAGGAAGAGGAGGTGGTAGCAAAAAATGCCACCAGATTTAACATGACAGAAGCATTGATCGTAGGAGGTAAGGAGCTTGATGAATTTGAAATCTAGGGTGTCCGAGGGGTTATCAAATACTTACATAAGAGGACTGGATTCAGGGTAGAAAGGTACACCATGAACCAGATTTTGGATTCCTTCAAAGCTAAGGGAGAATGGTGGTAGATAACTGCTACCTGGATGTAGATACAGTGATATAGATGGA